CGTGCCCTGATAAACCCGAACATCGGACAGGCAGTACCCCAACTTCCCACAAAGTAACAATTACCTCCTTGACAGCATGGCTCAATTTCGATGGTGTCTCCTGTCAGGGCCTCATGACTGAGGTAAATATGTTGGGATAAATTGGAAATAAGGTAAACTCATGACCACATGTCCGATACTCTTACAGTTTCCAGACGATAGGAGCGCATCTAAATTCGTACGCAGTAAAAGACTAGTTGCTGCACAAACTAATTTTAAAAATATTATTATCAAACACGATCAAACGCCTCTTCAAAGACGATTAACAATGAAACAAAATCCCTCCACCCATCATATGCCCCATGTTCCTACTAACGAAGCCAGTACTGACGCTATCATCAGCAATGTCGACCTTGACAAGTCAACCGCGTCGTCTAATATAGGCGATGATGGACATCTCAGTCTTCAGCGGCCTGATGAAAGAATCTCAAATAGCAGTAGTGATGTGTCCAAAACTAAAACTACCAACAACGCTGAAAATACAACGACGCAGACACCTGCTGACCACACACTCAACTCCCCTATCCCTTCTCCAAACTGCGAGCCCTTACAACAGTTTACAGTAACTGTACCTGAGACCTATCGTGAGCGAGACAAAAAAGCAGACTGTAACGTTGGCAGCCCGAAAAATAAATCTCAATCCGACCCGAATGAACTAAGCTATAGGTTATCTCCGACCAACCGAGGCGTAGGCAAAAACAGGGGAAAGCGCCCTGCCAGAATTTCTCCCATAAACGCTCAAAGCTCATTAAGTCTGAAGCAACCATCACCAGAGCGCAGGGATGTGCAGCTAGGCCAACTGAGAAAAAGTATACGTCCTCAAGCCTATACATACAAAACCGACACTGTTGTCGGGATAAGTTGCAGAGAGCCGGCCCAGTACCTACCCACAATGCCTCTGACTACGTTTCCAAATCCCGCGACCTCAAGCTGGCAAAGTCCTTATGTATGCGACACCGAATTAGCAAACAAAAAGTTGGTAGGCCACAAGGACTTACAGTTAAGAGGGTGCAACCCCTATCTACCTCAAGTCAAAATTCACCCACCACCACCCGCTGTATTACTCAATTGGCAACAATACAAACCGAAGCAAAATGAGTTCGTCGACTTCAGCATCCCCCCACCCCTGTATACTACGGATGTCAGTCCTTTTTTAGACTATCGCACACCACCAGTTCCTCCCCCACCAATCCTGCCCCTATCACGTGCGATTATGAACCAGAGATTAATCAAACTACTAGAGTATGTACTTCATTCAATCCAGTACGATCTGGAGCTCAGTGTGCCTCAGCTACCTCACAACACACAATTCTCAGATACAATGACGATGAAACAAACATTACCCACCACTTTCAGTCCATGTTAACAATGTCTTTCAAAGCTGTTGTCATTAACCTACGTTCCCTTTTGCCTAAATTAGATATACTTTCAACACTTATGTTTATGAGATCCCCCGATATTGTTTTTATCACTGAAACTTGGTGCACGTCGGAAATTAGTGATTCTCAGCTTAACATCCTAGGCTATAAGCTTTTCCGCAAGGATCGCTCGCACAAACGTGGTGGTGGCTGTGCCATATATCTTCGAAATAACCTGACTGCCATTCCTGCAGATCAACCTGTGTTCATTGACTTAGAAGATACACTATGGCTAGTGATCCCATCTATTGATCTTCTAGTGGGTTGTATCTATCGGCCGCCCCGAACTACACAATTTGCAACCCAAAAGCTAATCGATATGATCAATGTTGCTTCCAGCACCACATACAAATCCAAAATTATGTGTGGAGATTTCAACCTACCACATGTTAACTGGACGCTGCCTACACTCAGAAACACGGCAGAGAATGAGGAAATTATCGCATGTATCCACTTCAATGGCTGGACTCAGCATGTTAGAGAGCCAACTAGAAGTGCTACTACCTTAGACCTTGTATTCACGATGGGAATCGCGAACGCTTATACATTCATTGATGATCCACTGCCTGGCTGTGATCACACACCGGTGTTTTGTGGTATGACTATTGGTTTACCTGATCGACCACGTCAAATGCTGGAACCCATTCGTAACCTCCATCGAGTGGACTGGAACGCATTTAATGAACTTCTTTGTACCTTGAATTGGAATACGTCATTCCTAACCCACAACCCTACTGTGGCAAAAAATGAGTTATTAAACTTCATTGCCCTTGTTGTGGATCTACTAGCACCTACTGTAAGGAGAAATACCCATGAACATAGGGGTGAACTCAAGCTTCTGTCCAAAGCCAAAATAAAACTAAAGAAACTCAAATCGCTATACAGCAGGAACAACAGCTTCGCAACATTGCTACAAATACACGAGAACTTACTATATTTACAACGTCTAACCCTAACAGTCAAAACCAAAGAAGAAAGCCGGGTACTCAGAAATCCTGAGAAAGTACATGCATTGATGCAACTACTCAAAAGAAGAAACCCTAAACCACTTCAGGAAATTGAAACGTTGGTTCTAGACGATGGTTCAATAACGCGCGATATCTCCTGTATATGCGAGGCCATGAACTCTATTTTTGCCTCCTCTTTTGTCCCCAACATTCAGCCATTTCATCCTCCACTTCCAAAAAGAACGACCGAACTCTACTGCAATATCCCTGTGACGTTAAGAGAGGTGAAAAGTGCCATCGCAGCCATAAAACCATCAACTCATCCAGGTCCAGATGGCATCTCCCCAAC